GCTCAATTTTCCCTTGAGTTGAAAATCCGGAAAGCATTAATGGAATTAAATAACTCGTATCACGCATATTTATTACGCGTATTCGATTTAATTTCACCGACAATGTGTATATATATATATATATTGAAAGGAAACGAGTCGTGAAAAAAGGGGATAAGGATAGAAAAAAAGGAAAGAAAAAGGAAGAAAGCGAGGAGGGAGGGGGAATCCGACCATCCGACGGTAACGGCGCCGTGTTTACTAATTGCAACCAAGTTATGCAAGCGAGTTGCACCGGTGAAATTTCGATCACGGATCGAGCAACGTTGCGCAATTTTTTTTCGGCCAACGATCGTGTGTCGTTTTCCGTTCGAATGGCCGATAGAAATTAATGTAGAAAAGCGGGATCATACTTTCGAACACGCCAGCTATCTATACAGGAAAACGAACGGCTTTAACAAGAAGTTTCAAGAAAACTTTTCTTTCTAAATTTAGATGCATTTCGATGATATTAGAAGAATTTTTATCTTTCGATCGTTCCCGAAGATCGTCGTAACCAACGATGAAACGGGGAAGAGGAGTTTTCTTTTCTGGTTTGAATTGGGGAAAGAGAAGGGTTAATAAATAATTTTCTTTCGTTCGTTAACGCTTCGATCAATCAATCGCGATCAATTTGGAACGGATCGATGAAACTCGATCAAAAAAGGGAGATTTTCATCGCACCCCTTTTTCTTCCTGCCCCACTTCGTTTCCGGGAGAATGAAGAGACAGAGAGAGAGAGAGAGAGAGAGAAAGAGAGAGAGAAGGAAGTTTCGTTCGATGATATTAGAAGAATTTTAGATGGATTTTAGAAGAATGTAGATATTAGTAGAAATTTCGTAGATGTTTCGCCCAGTTTTCTCGTCGTCGCCGCTCTCACTTACCGATCGATTTCGAATCAAAAGCATTGGACGGCTAATCGAGATAAATCGATCGATTTTTCTACGCTCAACCGTGCTACACTCGCTCATTTCGCGAAATTATGTTGAAATTATTATCTGTTGTGAACACGGGAACGGGTATAACGATAAGCGTTTCTTTTATAATATTTATTTCTGTCGTTTCTGCCTGCCCTTATTTATCGATTCTCGGGTAACTGTAAACAGAGATTGGACGAAGCGAGTTGTTTTGAATCTTACGTAAGAAAGTAAGAAAAAGGAAGAGATAACTTATTGCCAGAGTTTTAATTAAATCAAGTAGATTAAAATCTACTGTATATATATATACTTTATATTAACGCACGATTAATTTCCAGGATCGAGGAACGATTCAAATTTCTCAACCTTTCTTACCTTTTTCATCACGATTTCTACGAGCCAATCCTTGACGACTCTTTAGAGTTATTTTCTATATTCGCGATGAAAGAAACGAAAGAGAAGAGTGCAGGATTCGGTCAAATTTTTCGATCTTGTCCCTTTTTTCTTTTTCTCAATCGACTTTTTCTCTCTCTCCAACGCCGCATCGGCGTTGAATTCGATTACCACATCTCTACTCGTCTGCAACAACTTATCAACGTGTAACGCGCCCGCCATAATTACTCGTGCCACGTCCGATCATCGTTCGATCGACGACGATACGAGCTCACGTCGTTTCACTTTACATTCACGAGGACGAGCCCCGACGATAATCGAGCCGGTAATTGCAAGCTCGCTCGTGAAACTCGCGTGCAAATCTCACCGTATCTCGCGGCCGTATCGGGGGATAATTCTCGGCTCGATCGGAGGAAAACGGAGAGAAACGGTGAGATGGAAGTGGATCTCGTTTCTATTCCCCGGAATTGGAATACAGAGTACACGATACGCACGAAATGGCGGGGCGATTTAATCCGAGCACCGCCGTTCCAAACGATCCCGATCGGAGAACGTCTCTCTCTTATAAACCGTGTCAACGACCGCTCGAAACCCGTCAGCGTTAAATTGAAAACGAAACGGGCCTCGACTCGCGATCCACCCACGCGACTCTATTCCCATAATCGACCGGTTGTTTATTAATTGATCCTCCTCGAGACCGATACCCCGTTTTGCGATACGAGATCGGTAAGGGGAGTGAAACGAGGCGGTTTCAGCTTAATCGAGGAGGATTCGAGCGGTAGTAGAGAGAGTTTTTCTGAGAGTAATTGTTGTCTCTGAGGGAAGAGAGAGAGAGAGAGAGAGGGTGAGATCGAGATTTTAATGGGGCACGGTCATCCACGAGTGGCGAGCATTAAAACGAATCTACCCGCTTGGAAACGATCTCTGATACTCATCGACGATCAGAGTTTCTCCATGGGGACATTCGAGACAGGAACCAGTCTATAACTGAAAGCTATTACCCTTTTTCAGAGTGAAGAGAGGCATTCGTGGAATGGCGGTGTGAAGGAGGTGTGAATTTATTTAAACATCCTCTTTGCGGATCTCCTATTCACTCTTACGCGGCGATTTGAATCTGGTTTTTGATTAGAAGAGGATTATTCGCGCGAGTTAATCGGCTCGAATCGATGCGATTTAACATTGAGCGGATGTATGGGATGGATAATAAAAGATACGTGGTGGTAAAGATAACGATCTAATGTATTTTGTTAAGAAGATAGGTGGGAAAGATGAAGAGGAAGATTTGCTTTCAGAAAAATTGGTTTGATTTAGATTGTTATTAATTGGAAGGAATTGGAAGTTGTGAAAATTTTGAAATATTGTAGAAATTGTTTCAAATTACTGGATCCATGATTAGTAACAAGGGAAGATTAGGAATTGAGAAGAATACAAAGTCAGTCAAGTAATTAAAGGTTCACACCAGTTTTCAAATATTAAATTCAAGTAATTTGACTAATCTCATATTTCAAACGATATTTTTATTTCGATATGGAGAAATGAGATACGTGGTATTTCGTGATATTTAATTTTTAATTTTGAACCAATTAAGTTAAAAATGATAGAATATATACCAAAGTAGATTTTGTATTATTCGAATTCGATTAGAAGAATATGACGTTTCATATGGTTAATCTATTATAGTTTACATAGTTTAAATCAATGAATAATTTTTTAAAATGAATTTCAATTCACAAATTCACATTTCCCATGATTTAATTCTATATCATTGTAATTCATATACATAGATTTAATTTTCACAAATCTTCACGGATTAACGTTTCTAAAATAATAGATTTCTTGTTTCAATTATTATCTCATAGACCCTTGTACCCTTGCAGAAAGTTAAACGCCTAATTTCAACTGTATGGATGAGTATATACACCACGAGAAAATATTGCACACAACCAAATCAGATTTAGGGTGTCGATACCTAATCAACTCGAGATAAAGAGAGGATAATGTCAGGCCACGATAGGCCGCTGACCTCTTCCAATTTATCCAGATCCAGACGGTAGTCAAACCAAATCGAATCACATGGAGATACGCGGTCATAATCTCGTCGAGTACATATCCACCTTTGATAAAATTGTCCACATACTCACCACGCTCATAATTCATTCAACACGGCGACAAGTTCACCGAAGTAAAATCTCATTTTCCTCGATAATCGGTGGTGCACGGAACATATCGAATCGCGTACGATCCCTTTACAATTAGTCGCGCTCATTAATAATCGTTATCCGGGCAAATCGTCGAATTTATTACACGTCCGCAACTGGGTGTTCGCGTTTATCGTTGAATTAACGTGTTTTCATCCGCGGCAAACTGGTCCTCCTGTTATCGGTTCTCAGAGAGAGAGAGAGAGAGAGAGAGAGAGAGAGAGAGAGAGAGAGAGAGAGAGGGAGAGAGGCCAATTGGAATTAATAGTAAAACACGAAATTACTTCGTGCCGCTTCTACCGAGTATCCAAGAACGATGCCGTATAAATATTGCGTAATTACGTTCCACCTACTTCACCGTTACCGTGTTATCGGTGATAGCTCCAAGTTTTCGTGCTTATACACACGCACGGTATACGTAAGCGGCGGCCGAACGAACGCGAGATAAATTTCACCCACGTATCGACGATGATATCGAATTATTCAATGTATCTCGCTACCTCGCTACCGTGGTGATTTAGGACCGTAACGAAAATAGATATTCAGGCGATCGAAATTGCCGCAACTGCTAATTTATCGATCGTGGCCATAAATCTGGCGCACGACACCCGAGATCGAGTTTTTAGACGGTGGTTATTAAATTGACGTCAGCGTTTTCCACGGCGCGGAAGCTGGTACGGTTCGTTGGTTAACGTTGGAATGTTATCGATTTTCGTTTCGGGGGAAAAATTTAGGTTGTCCCGGTTGTGCTCGATACGAATGCCGATTATAATCGACTTATTGAAAGCTTATCGGTTTTTTGGGGCAATTTTTATTATTTTGCCGAATGTCGTGATCGATGCATTGATGCCATTAGCGTTGATTATTGTCGCGATACGGGAATGATCGGAAAAATGGATAATTTCTTTTGTGAAGTTTTTATGCGCAACGTAAAAACGTTCCACGCATATTATCGGTATGTATCATTTTCGTTCGATGATGAAAGAAAGATAATATTGAAACTTTAAATTTTATTTAATAGCAAGGAACAAATTATTCTTCCCTTCCACGTTTCACCATATAATTGATTCACGTTTATATCCCTACCGAACGAACGATAGAACGATTATTTCATTGTATCGGGAAGGAGAAGCGAAGAGATGAACGCGTTGGCTTAATTATCGCATGCCAGCAGATCACAGTGTCATTAAGGCGAATCTGTTCGCGGAATGGCGACGATTATTGCGGCTCGCTTACGATCCATGAACGGGTATGGATCGTGCCGAACATTAAACGCAGAATGTCCTCAGGGGAAAACGATCATTGTCCTGGACGTTATGCGTTGGGGCGAACGCTCTGTGCGCTCGTTTATGCGTCCAATTAAACGTTCCCGCGCGATGACCGACTACGCATGCGCAATTATCGTGTCCCGCGCTTGCGCGTGCACCATTTTACTTCACCTCGGGGATCCAACGTTGAACGGTTATTAAGAGAGGATAATTGTTTTGTTTTTGTGAGAATTATTGGACAGAAGATTAGAAATGTGTGTCTTCGGCCTATTCAGAAACCGTTTTACATCTGTAGGTAACAATTCTGCGGTTTATTCTAATTTTTATTATTTCAATGTGTTCAATTGTCGATTTGCTAATTCGATGTTTCTCTTTTTCAGGTTAAGTTGTTCTACGTTCTTTCTTTCTACATTTTTTACGATTCCAAGACGAAAAGGAGAGTCGACCGAGGAATTTTGTTAAGCAACGAAAGGTTCCAATAACATTTGGCGCTACGATCCAACGATTGATCATACAAAAAAGAGAAAAGAAGAAATGGAAAGGTTACTCGAAAACATCTCTCGCGGTATGTTATCTATTTTCTTTGTACGATTTACCTGTCCCGGCCCATTTTACACGCCTCTTCCTTCATTCCAAGCACACCCTTCGCTATTTGTTTCTTTAATGGCCTTCTCCTCGCTACCAACGTTCGCGTTATCGCCGTATCAATCTATATGCGCGTATATACGTTCAATACAATCTGCTTACCAATTGCATTACATCATGTGCATTTTTTGTCCTCTCGTCATCTGATAACCGGTACGCTCGTCCTTATCCATTTGCGTTGGTATCCTTTTAGCACGGTTCTCCATTGCGAGAAAAATATAGTTTCAGAAATAAAAGAAAAAAGAAAAAAAGAGAAAGGTGAAAAATAAAAAAAAAAAAAAAACGGAGAAAAGAACGAATAAGAAACGATCGCGTCGTTTCGTACGATTGTGAAGTGTAGTGAGCGTGGCAGCCTGCGCAGATAAATCTGCGGACCTCTGTTAAATATTGACAACGTGGAACAGATTATAGTACGATACCGTCTACCATTGGCCGGCACGAAACCTCTTGTTTGTCGTTCGGTTGCACGCACCGTGATAATCGATCTGATGATTTGCAATCGCGTGCTGGGGAACATTTGTTTTGCGCGATTTTTCGTTTGCCAAGAATAATTTAATTTATGACATCTTCGAAAGAATTATCGAGACGTATTAATGGTCGAGAAATATTGGATTGTTGGACATATTTTTTCGGCAAATTAATTTATTTTTGGGATCGACGTGATGCAAATGATCATTGTGATAATACGAGGCGTGTCAATATTTCATTTAAGAGAACAATTCATTCATTAGAACTGATAGACATAATTAAAATTGTTAGGTTCAAATATATTATAGTTTAAATATATCAGATATAAATATAAATGAAAATATTCTCGAAATATTCAAAAACAACTCTCTCTCGCGCAATTATAAATTACTTTAATCCAGAATTCATTAATTAAGAATATTTTCCTCAAACGATATTTCAACTGATCTTTTCGTATCTTTGATTCTAAATTAAATCTCCTAAACTAAATTTAATACAAATTCATAAAATTTAATCAATTTAATGCAATCTAGTAGCAACAGGATTCACCGATCAAACGATTGAAAAAAATTAAGAAGATCAATTAAATCAATTATCGGTAATGAAATGGTATTTTAATCGATATCACGATCCAGGCATACGTTACACACGGTATCTCTCGTTTTCCAAAGGTCTCCTGGCCAGTATATCAACGATTTTTATCACTCGGCCGCAAAACATTTCGAAATCATCCGCGCTCGAGACTTTTTTCCCATTTCTTAGTCATCGCCGACTCAACGCGACCTTTTCACTATTGGCAATTCGAGCGCACGTGCGACGCGTAATTTCACGCGATAAACCTGGCGGACCGATCGAGGCACGTGCGATTTTTTTTCCCTTGATTTTTCCTTTTTTTTTCTCTCTCACCGATATCGACTCTCATAACGAAGTGAGTGGTCTCAGGTGAAAATTTTCCTATCTGTTTCATATCCTGATTCCATCGTAGAAGGTAGAGAGATAAAATGGCGGGATATTTAAACCCGATCTTTGATTGATAAATTGAGCTGTCGTAGAACAGGATGTCAAGGATGTTATTTATCGGTAGAATATCGATTTTTTGCTCAATTAATGTTGAATTTATATTTTTAAATTTGCTCGAGCAGATAAGCGGAGTTAAAATTGGTATGGAATGTATAATTGTTTTTTTTTTATAGCGATTAGATCAAGATATTGCTGGACAGAGATTAGAAAAAAAATTTAATATGACAAAATGGAATGTGTCCGTTTCTTTATTTTAATTTATATTTTTGTATTTTATTAGATATTAAATGATAAACGCATCATATCAGTTCGATCGATTTAATTTTAATTTTTTAATTAATTAAATGTATTAGATTAAAAACGATTAGTTGAAAAGATGCTCCAATTTTCCAGAGAGATTCAAGCGATTTATTATAATTGAACGAACGAAACGAAAAGGATGTTCTCACGCGTAAATAAATATGTTAATTTTTCTCTTCTTTTTTCTTTCTCTGTCCGTAATGACATGATTACGATAACAAACACGAAATAATAGTCATTCCTCTCCCAACGCCGAGAAGTTGACAGCTGCGTCGCGTAACCTGTTAAAACCGACGTCTCACCACCTAATTATCCAGTTGAAATAATCACACGCGCGTAACAAAAATTACAAAATATAATTTTCCATCTCCTCGCACTTTAATCGAACGCACTTTAATCTCGCACACCTCAAATTCAACAACCGTCCCGCTTATCGAATTATGCAAATTTCGGTTGCCCGTTTAAACGAAAAATGATCAAAGAGAAAATTAAAAAGGGATCGAGGGACACTTGCATTTTCTTATTCACGTGATCAAATCCCCCTCCTCTCTCCCCCCTCGATTTCTAATCGGTATCCACAGTTTACTCGTCTCGATTCAACTTCGCGGTGTAATAAATATTCATGCGATGCTTTGCATCGCAGTGAATTCGAACTCGTGCGAGCAAACTGCTGAATTAAGCTGGGACAAATAAGTACATTGTTCCATGAATATCGAGGCAACGAGATAACCGACCTTCGATATCTCGATCTTTATTCGAAATATACACTGTTTCACGCGCGAAATTTAAATTGCTCGATACTTTACGTCGAAGAATCGCACCACGTTATATAAATCAGTCGAATATAGATAGAGAATAGAGCTACTTTATAAAAGCTAAATATACAAGATGATTAAATTAATGCAAATATTGAATCGTTCGTAATTCAAATATAAATATTTTATTTGTCACTTTCTTTTTACTTCTCAAAAACTTTGATTGAAATTTTACTTATATTAATAAAATTACAGATTGAAAAAAATCATCTGCTACAGAAAAATTACCACGCAACCTTTACCTTAACATCCTTCATCGAACTCCATATGCTCTTTTCCATATTTGCAAATTGAAAATACAACGACTTCGAGCCTCGCGACACGGAGAAAAATAAATTACAAATTACAAATATATCATCGTGGACGAAATGAAATCGATACGTCGTCTTTTCACGCAAGAATCGAATATCTTCTGCCGATCTTCGTCGAAACGAATTTCGAATCCATCTTTCGAAACGACGACGATCCGTTACATTGTGCCGGTTATCTGCATTAAACCTTTTGAACGCGCGAAATCCTCCGTCGAGATAAAATAAGACGGCGCGGCACGTCCAAATGTCGTATCGCGTTTAAGAAACGCGCCACGGGTTCCAGAACTCGAGGGAGCGACGGATTAAAATATCAAAGATCGCCCGCGGCTCGGCTCCGGACAATTCGCGACTCCTCTCCTCAGTCACGAATTCAAACGTGAAATCCTCTTTGAATATTTATCGCATCTGCCGATGTTTACTTACGTACGCTGATAGCAAGAGATCGTTATCGCGATGGATCATATATATATGTATATATCTCCGAGATCTCTCGCATTTTTAACGAGAAATTTGATTTTTAGGTTATAAAATGTCTTATTATAAGGTAACGAGAGAGCAAGGTTGTTCGTTTTTAACCTTTTCCTACGTTACGTCTTAATGGTTATTTAGAATAGATGTTTATGTATGTAAAAATATGGACAAATTATGTACGATTTGTATAATTAGTTGAGTTATATACGAGAAATACGAATCGTCTTTTCTTGAAATATTATTTCTCGTCGTGTTGGCTAAAAAAAAGTTTCTACGGATTTGAAGACAAATCCTCGCTTCCCTGCGAAATCTCCCCCCTCTAAGAGAGGGGAGCCTCTGAGAGTAGCCGTGATCCATTTCACAAAGGTGTTCGCGCTTTCCCCGTTGCAGAACGGATCAAAATAACAAAAAGATGTATCTGGCGTTGCACGAGCAATTGGACGAAAGGTCGAAAGGGGCGCGTTTCCTCTCTCGATGGGCGAAGGTCCCGTCGACCAAGGGGAGGAAGAGGGAATCGATCGGATCATTACCATAATTTGTATATGAGTGCCACCTGGAAACGGTGCCACCCTTCTTCTCTGACCGCTTCTTGTCTTTCCTCGTCCACTTTCTCCCCGGGCCCTTCTGTCTTCCTTTCTCGAAGGAAGGTATGCCCGGCCAACGCGACACGCCTGGCCAATGCTCCATCCGCTCCATGGTTGGTCGCCGGTAGCCGGCAGAAAAACGAGTTCGTTGAAAAGCAGTGCGGCCTATCGGCGATTCTCGTCGGAGGAGAGAATCGTTCTCGTGCCCGGGGAGAGCGGAATTCTTGAGGTTCTTTTTTTTTTTTCCCCCCTCCCCTCCTCTCCCCTCTCTGCGCCGCAATCGCAGTTGGGCCTACGTAGAAATCGTCTAGGACTAGCGATGGGATATTGCAACCAGCCTCGAATCTAAATTGGAAAGTTTCGAGTAGTTTATGGATACCTCGAGGTGCAAAAAAGGTGCAAGAGGCTGTTAAGTTAAGGAGAATCTGGGATGAGATCTAGCTTCGAATTGTTTATGGGAAACGGAGGAGGGAGGGGAGACACTCTGAGTGGCACTCATAACTTGGCTAATCAATAATCTCGCGAATGGTTTCACTTAAGATTATGTCCAACATATGACACGAAGCGCGTGTATAGCGAATATATAGATGTAACGGATTCTACGAATTTTACGATTATATATATATATTTTTTTTTTTTTTAGAAAAGCGAATTTGGAGGGGAAAAAAGAAAGAAAGAAAGAAAGAAAATAGTAAACGCAACGTCGAACTGCGATCATCGCTTTTTCACGGTAGACAGCGGATGTACATGGCGCGAAACGACGAATTTACGCTCGAACGAGCAAAACCGTGTTACCTGTCCGCTCCCGTTCGATCGATAAGCGTCACTCGACCGCGTATCTCTCGACCGCGTGTCGTTTAAAAATCCCTCCCCCCATTGGCCGCCATTATCGGCCGACGATTGATTTACGGTCTAATCGAGAAAAACACGAAATTCCTTCGTTCGCTTACG